GAATATGTCACAGTCTAGTAATGTAACCAGAGAATATGTCACAGTCTAGAAATGTAACCAGAGAATATGTCACTATCTAGGAATTTAACCAGAGAATATGTCACAGTCTAGAAATGTAACCAGAGAATATGTCACTATCTAGGAATTTAACCAGAGAATGTGTCACTGTCTAGTAATGTAACCAGAGAATGTGTCACTGTCTAGTAATGTAACCAGAGAATGTGTCACAGTCTAGTAATGTAACCAGAGAATGTGTCACTATCTAGGAATTTAACCAGAGAATATGTCACAGTCCGGCACTGCTTATTATTTACTATAATATCAATTGCACATTTTGAGCATTCCAACTAGTTTTTAGCAAACAAAACAGATTCATATAGTATTTTATGATATATCAAAATATCTAAAAATAATCAGTTGAGGAAGGGTTGAAATTCTAGCTTTAAAGGAAACTTAATATGAGCATAATGAGATAAAATGTGATAATTATAATACTGTGAATATGATTGGCGAATTTAATATGCTTTCATATTATCAGTTTTTACCTATTCTTGTTACATGTTCTTTAATGCATGAAATGAAACTCAGTTCATCCGGGAGATACGTTTGGGGTCTTACAGGTTTCCCGTTGTTATTTGTTTGTTTTTAATGTTTAAAAATTATGTTTATAAATAATGTTAAACAAATTTACCAATAATACAAATATACACAATATTTATTATTATTATAACTAAAAAAGAAAAACAAAATACCAGATTAATATATAAAATAATTTAACGAAAATACACCAGGACAAGAGCAATAATAAAATGGTCATTCAGCGTGACCTTCATGACCCCAAATTAATCCGTACTATTCTGTGCTCTCATCGGAAAAATTATTCATTTTCGATTTAATCTTCATCTTAGGGCGCTGAGAAAGTCAACGAGCGAAGGAGTTCCACAAAATAGAGTATGTAAAACAGTTCATTATTGTTTAATAGAATATTAAATAATATCAGTTCTTTATTGGTGAACAGAATATTCAATAACGTCAGTTCTTTAATCTTCAATATAATATTTATTAATGTCAGTTCGTTACAGTTTAATATAATATTAAATAACAAAGCTCAATATGGTTTAATAGAATATTAAATAATGAGTAAATAAAGTGTAGCTGTTCACAACCACTTTTATTAAGGTATAAGATAGTTTACTGTAAGACTGAGAAATAATATCTCTCAACAGTTTTGTGATACAGGCAAAAATTGCACTTGTACACATACAGACACGTGATTTTAAAGTGTTTTTAACAGAAATATTTCGATGAACAATGCAGTTTTCTTACTTAAGCAAGTTAAACTAATTGTTTTCCAACTAACCCTTTCACTTGCAAGAAATAAAGGTAATAATATCATAATGATCCTCTGATTTATTACTTTTGGTTCTTCCAGTGAATTAATCTCAAAATCGCAACTTTTCCGACCTGCACGAAAATAGCACGTGTAATTATATGTTTCACTTGCCTATAGGCTCCTGCAGGCTTATATGTGCCTAAGTAGTCGTATTATTTCTAAAGTATGAAAGTCTGTTATTAATTTATAGCAAACACCTTCTCTCTGGTGGAGCAGGAATAACGACTTGCCAGGAGACTCGAATTCTCGATGGAATGTAAGATTTTGTTTTCTTGTTAAGTAATAGCTTCAATTTGTAAGTAAGACCGCTTTAAAACAAAATTTAGCAGATGATAACATTTTGTAATATAAGGTACCGGTCATTATTGGGATACATGAATTTTGGTTTCCCTGTTTTTTTGTTATGCAAGAAGCTGTAACAAGGGCTGGGCTATCTGTGATCTTCTCGCCATTGATCGAAACCCAACTTTTAGCGTTATAATTCTTTTGACGAACCACTGAGTCACCGGGGGCTAATATTTTAATGATCAAGTTTAAATTTCAGAATCCTAGTAATAGAAGCTGCCAATTGACTTCATCTCTCGGCATTTTCATAATACAAACTGCCAATGAATTTTAAGACTCAAAATTCTGGTAATCTAAGTTGCCAATCAACTTTAAAACGCTAAATCCTAGGAATACACTCTGCCAGTCAAACTAAAATCGCAGAATTATGGTAAAATAATATGTTGATTAGATTTAAATCGCAGAATTCTGTTCGGCTATGCTACCGATCAAGTTTAAACTGAAGAATTCTGGTCATATAATCTGCCGATTAAGTTTAAATATCAGAATTCTGGTAATATAATCTGCCGATTAAGTTTAAATATCAGAATTCTGGTAATATAATCTGCCGATCAAGTTTAAATATCAGAATTCTGGTAATATAATCTGCCGATAAAGTTTAAACTAAAGAATTCTGGTAATATAATCTGCCGATCAAGTTTAAATATCAGAATTCTGGTAATATAATCTGCCGATCAAGTTTAAACTAAAGAATTTTGGTAATATAATCTGCCGATTAAGTTTAAACTAAAGAATTTTGGTAATATAATCTGCCGATCAAGTTTAGATATCAGAATTCTGGTAATATAATCTGCCGATCAAGTGTAAATATCAGAATTCTGGTAATATAATCTGCCAAGCAAGTGTAAATATCAGAATTCTGGTAATATAATCTGCCAATCAAGTATAAATCGTAGAATTCTGGTAGGCTTTGCTACTGATCAAGTTTAATTTCAGAACTCTGGTAATATAATCTGCCGATCAAATTTAAATGGTAGCAATCTGGTAATATAATCTGTCAATCAAATTTAAATCTCAGAATTCGGTTAATCTAAGTTGCCAGTCATCTCTAAATCTCAGAATTCTAGTAGCCTATGCTGTCAGTAAAGTTTAAATCATAGCATTCTAGTAATATAATCTGTCAATCAAGTTTATCAGAATTCTGGTAATATAATCTCAGTGAGTGTTAGAAGAGTGCAATTGTTTTTATGTCTGAAGTGTGTGTTACTTAATGTGAAATAGATTTCACATTAAGTAACACACACTTCTCCTTTGGCAGATCATAAATATGATATGCCAAAGGAGAAGTGTGTGTTACTTAATGTGAAATAGTATGATCTGCCAAAGGAGAAATGTGTGTTAAACAGGGTAAAGGTTTAATCGTTTCTTGTGTAGAAGAAATGTTACACTGTGTATATATATATATATATATTATTTTCAGAAGTAAAAACGTGTTACACAATTCCTCCCAGTGGCTCAGCGGCAAGTCCGGAGGTTTATAACGCTAAAAACCTGGTTCTGGTACCCGTGATGGGCATAATACAGATAGCTCATTGTGTAGTTTTGTGCTTAACAACGAACAATAAATTTTTGTGTTTATCACGATATAAAAATATGTTACACGACAAAATTAAAATGTTTTGTCATGTAGAGAAATTATTTGGCAGAACAAAACATTTATCCGAAAAATAATAAGAATTAAAAGGGTTAAATATCTGAAAACTAGCGAGTCAGTCAGTTTTTATAGAAAATACTAAAGAGACGACTTTTAATCACTTACTAGCAAAATAACTGTATGTACTTTAGGGGAATTAAACTATTATACTTTTAATCACTTACTGACAGAATAACTGTATGTACTTTTGGGGAATTAAACTATTATACTTTTAATCACTTACTGACAGAATAACTGTATGTACGTTATGGGAGTTAAACTATTATACTTTTAATCACTTACTGAAAAAATAATTGTATGTACGTTATGGGAGTTAAACTATTATAATATTTCAAAATTGTTTGTTTTACTACAAATCCACATTGAGCTCTCTGGTGTGGCCACCGCGGGGAATAGAACCCCAGGTTTTAGGGGTGTAAGTTCGTAAATTCACCGCTGTCCCACCGAGTGATTACATTGTTTAACTGAAAACACAACAACATATTTTGACTTATAACATCGGTGGTAAAAATAATTCGTTTATTAATTTAATTATCCAAAGAACAATTAGGGTACAACTCAATGTGTATTTGTGTTTTATTTTATTGGTTTCTAAATAGTTATTATTATTATTTTCTTTTTTGTATGACATAGACTTTCCAAAAGGTGCAGCGCAATCGTCACAGCCGACTCGGAGGTAAGTAACGCCATCTTACTGTTCACTATATATGTGTGCACCACATCCGAATTTCCAGTTTCATAGTATTGGAAGGTTGTTCCTTATGTACCTGTTTTAAAATTTAATGAGCCAAGAAGAGCGAAAGCGTTCGTGAGGTCTGTGGCAGTCGTGGTGTGTACTCGCCTAGAAACAAGAATCGAATTTCATACCGTGTTGGTCTGAGCAGCAACTTTTTATTGCGACAGCTGTGTCGGTGTGAAGTGGAAGTTGTAAAATTTATAGAGTGGAAACAAATGGGCCTGCATGAAATTTAATCAGCCACACATGCCGGCGAACTTCAAAATTAAACCTGCGAGAAATACTGCGGTCATGTTGAAAAGTGGAAATTTATGCAAAATATAGTCGAGGAAAAGCCGTAGGACCGAAGTGACTCGTAGTTTAATAACATTTTCCGGAGAAACGTTTTCTTATCCCTGATAATAGCCGACAAGTTGAAGTAATATCGCAGTGTCATTTGTAAGAAACAGGTTGTCTTTAATTGGACCGACACGGCTCGATATTACAACACACCCCGTGTAAGAGTTTCATATTGCTTTCAAGGAAAGCTTTAGTTGTGGGCTATTTGACGAGAAAAGTAAATTAATTTTTAAGAGTTACTTGTTTCTACCCTAGCTGGTTTCGGTTGTTTATTACTTCTAGTTTGTACTGTAGATGTGTTATTTATTATATCAAAATATAAACGTTCTTTGTCGTAAAAATTACTTCTTAAATTATAGAAGTGTTAAACCTTTACCAAACCATATACGACTTGTGTCTCTAGGGAAAAAATCAATAAAAAACTGTTAGACTTCTTTGAACAGAAATAATAACATAAGTTATTCTTAGTCTGACTGTTTTTGTTCCATCTTCTGACAGTGCTTTATTTTATATAAACGTTTCATCAAATTTTTATTATTATTACAGGAGTTACTTACTATTAGTTATGATGTAGCTTAGAGAGCTTTGACTTTGTATCGAGAATAATGCTTCTTTATAAAACATTCTTCTCCTAGTACGAACGTGCAAAGCGAAGAAGAGGACGAAAGAGGAGACATTTTGTCTGGAGTGCAATGACCAACCAGAAGAGATTCAGGTAACACAGTCTGTACGGTTAAGTTCCATCTCGAAGCATGCATGTTGAATGTAGTAATTTTCTGTTTGTTTGTTGTTATACACAAATTTGCACAATTGGCTATCTGTGCTGTGCCACCACGGGTTTCGAAACACGATTTTTTGCGATATAAACCTTCAGACTTACTACTGAAGGGCCAATGTATTAGTAAGATCGATCTCTTTGATATATCGAGTAAAAAAGTCAAGACAGTAAACTAAAATTGGGTTTTTTAAACACGAAATGCATTCTAGAGCCCTTCAAACTAACAAGTATCATGTAAAGAATTCTCTATTTAATCTAGAGCCCTTCAAACTATCGTCTACGCGTAAAAAGTTCACTACTTTATTATACAGCTCTTCAATCTAACGACTACGTGTAAAGAATTATCTACTTTATTCTAATGCTCTTCAAACTAATGACTATGTGTAAATAATTCTCTACTTTATTCTAGAGCCCTTAAAACTAACGACTACGTGTAAAGAATTCTCTACTTTATTCTAGAGCTCTTCAATCTAACGACTACGTGTAAAGAATTATCTACTTTATTCTAATGCTCTTCAAACTAACGACTACGTGTAAAGGATTCTTTATTTTATTCTAGAGCCCTTCAAACTAACGACCACGTGTAAAGAATTCTCTACTTTATTCTATCACTCTTCAAACTAATGACTATGTGTAAATAATTCTCTATTTTATTCTAGAGCCCATAAAACTAACGACTACGTGTAAAGAATTCTCTACTTTATTCTAGAGCTCTTCAATCTAACGACTACGTGTAAAGAATTCTCTACTTTATACTATCACTCTTCAAACTAATGACCACGTGTAAAGAATTCTCTACTTTATTCTAGAGCTCTTCAAACTAATGACCACGTGTAAAGAATTCTCTTCTTTATTCTATCACTGTGGTCATTAGTTTGAAGAGCGCTAGAATAAAGTAGAAAATTCTTTACACGTGGTCATTAGTTTGAAGAACACTAGAATAAAGTAGAGAATTCTTTACACGTAGTCATTAGTTTGAAGGGCTCTAGAATAAAGTAGAGAATTCTTTACACGTGGTCATTAGTTTGAAGGGATGTAAAGAATTCTCTACTTTATTCTAGAGCCCTTCAAACTAACGACAACGTGTAAATAATTCTCTACTTTATTCTAGAGCCCTTCAAACTAATAACCACGTGTAAAGAATTCTCTACTTTATTCTAGAGCCCTTCAAACTAACGACCACGTGTAAAGAATTCTCTACTTTATTCTAGAGCCCTTCAAACTAACGACAACATGTAAAGAATTCTCTACTTTATTCTAGAGCTCTTGAAACTAACGACAACGTGTAAATAATTCTTTACTTTATTTTAGAGCCCTTCAAACTAATGACCACGTGTAAAGAATTCTCTACTTTATTCTAGAGCCCTTCAAACTAACGACTACGTGTAAATAATTATCTATTTTATTCTTTAGCCCTTCAAAATAATAACTACATGTAAACATTTCTCCAATTTATCACGCAAATCATTCGTCACAAAAATAATAACCACATGTCTTTTCGAAATAGAATTCTAAAGCACTCGAAGATCGCGAGGCGTTAACTGATTAATGTGCCAGGTTCAACATCGGTGATGCCTTTTTAAGCTGGATGTGTTATAACAATGACAGTCAGTAGCTGCATTCAGGTCAGAACCAGACAAATTACGGTGGCGGGTGCTGCAACACAAGGCACCCTCCGTCTGGCCAACAATAAAAAATGAGGGACGACTGTACCTGAGTCCTAGCTGTCTTAGACTTAACCTTTTTGTCTTTGTGTCGTATAAGGTGAATTTCAGGTTGGAAAATATATTTTTCATCCTTGGTTTGTCCCTTAGCAAAAATATTATACGAGGAGAAAACAATGTAGAAAATTTTGAAAATTAGCTCGAGCACTGACGGTGTCAAAATGTTGAAAAAACAAACAAACACGAATATAAAATATGAGTGATTAGGAATGGTATTTCTTTGTTGATTAGCTAATCTTTAAACTCACTATAACTGTGGATTTGTATCTGATGTGTCAATGACTAAACTGAAATACTCATAATTACACTTCTATTTAAGCGAAACAAGAACTTTACTTACCTTTTACAAACTGATTTTAAAGCCTGCTCGAATATTGATGTCAGCATGAAGCTAGAGTTATAGCATGGTTATAACTGGGGAATTATTACGTCACGAGCTGAATAATTCACACTGTTGACTATGACGTAACAAATACACGGAATTTATCATCTTCTGGTTCCTTCGTCTGTAGTATCACCGTTGTTTCGCAATTCATAGCTGACGAAATATCTTTAGCATTATTGCCATTGTTAAGAACAATTCATATTTGATGAAATACCTTCTGTGGCATCGTCGTTGTTATGAACAATTCTCAGTGGGCAAAATATCCTTTGTAGTGTCATTGTTGTTTCGAACAATTGATAGCTTACGAAATATCTTCTGTAGTATTACCATTGTTACGAACAATTCATATTTGACGCAAATATCTTCTGTAGTATTACCATTGTTACGAACAATTCATATTTGACGCAAATATCTTCTGTAGTATTACCATTGTTACGAACAATTCATATTTGACGCAAATATCTTCTGTAGTATTACCATTATTATGAACAATTCATATTTGACGCAAATATCTTCTGTAGTATTACCATTATTACGAACAATTCATATTTGACGCAAATATCTTCTGTAGTATTACCATTGTTACGAACAATTCATATTTGACGCAAATATCTTCTGTAGCATCGTCGTTGTTTCGAACACTTCTTCATTATACAGTTTCTTCACTAGAACGTGGTTGATTGGTCATTATTCAGAATTTCTGATCAACCATTAGCAACTATATGAATTTAAAATAACAAAAATAACTCGCATGGAGAACAAAAGTACTTTATGTTTTAGTTTTATAAAACTGGAAAGCTAAAACCAGTGCAATGATCATAATGCATCTAATTATTTTTGGATATCCTCGCAACCACGCTGTTTATAATATTTTTGGACATAATTCAAATAATTGGGTTTCAACAGCCTAGTAGATTCACGTTAAGCCTAAACCTATACTCTTAAGCAAAATGTAAAATACTGTTTATAACTGTAATTCTAATTCAAAAACTTTTGCTCCAGGTATCACCCGGTGGGATAGCAGTAAGTTTACGGACTTACAACGCTAAAATCCGGGGTTCGATTCCTCGTGGTGAACACAGCAAATTGCCCAATGCAGTTTTGCTCTAAAACAAATAAACGAACAAACAAAGCTTTCAGGTTATTCATATAAGAAACTTAAAACTTGAAATTAATGTTTGCTGATTGGTTTAAAAACTTTGGTTAGGCTGTTTTGGATAGATAACTGACTTGGTTTATTCATATAAGAAACTTAAAACTTGAAATTAATGTTTGCTGATTGGTTTAAAAACTTTGGTTAGGCTGTTTTGGATAGATAACTGACTTGGTTTAGTTCGTTTCATTTTACATTTGAATGATATATATGTTACAGTATTATACATGAAGAAACCATTTACACTTGGATTTTTCATTGTAGCAAGTCGGCTTAATTTATGATATATGTATTAATGTAGATAAGGAATATTTCCAGTTTGAAATCAAAATAAACATATATTTGAAGCTAATGATATCTATAAGTACAGAAGATGTTAGCAGGACATTATTTTAGAGAAAAAATAAATTTTTTTAAATTTAATTTTCGGGATCTTTAGCTTTAAGCCTGTTCATTCTGTCACTATCTGTAATAATGGCCTAAATTGTTTTATTGAACTTAAGAAAGAAGCCAATGACACGGAGGATAAGACAGTGAGCGTTGAGAGGTACGAACACTCTCGTGATTACGAGTATACAGGTGAGATACTAATAAGAGCATTTTTTTTTAGAAAGAACTAATTATTGTGTTTAAATATTACACTTCCAAAAAATTTGTTCATCATGATCAATATATATCAACCTTTTCTTGTGTGGTTAAATGAAAAAACTGATGTTCGTTCGGCTCAAAAACAAAGTCATCACAAAAATGACATCAGCTTATCAAACTGGGACATGCCATGGACCGCAGTTGTGGAAATAATGTATTATAAACGATCTTATAAACCAAATTCTCTAGTTGTAGCTAGAGAAGGACAGCTTTTGGCTTCTATAGTCATTTTTCTTGTCTATTTTACAAACGATGTTTGCAGAAAGAATGCCAACAAAAGAGAGAGAGGATAATAAAAAAAGCTGAACTTAAAATATATCATAAGGACGGGTAACTTACTTTTTATTTTAAAGTAATAGTTAACAGTATTTTAACTTTAAAGTGCAAAAAACGTGATTTTTTTTTCTATTGCCAGGTCTTCAAACCAAAAAAGATAATGGTAGAGATGACGACGAACAAGATTTGAACGTGGATGGCGACGACACTGCCACCTATGGGCAACCACAGTATCCTTCTATGCGAAGACTAATTTGTGCTTAAAATGTCCTATAAATATTAAATAACACAGAAGGTTGCTTTGATTTTTACAGCAAATGAAACTGCAAATATGCAGGTTTCAATTATATTCCACAGTAGCATAACAAATATGCGTTTGTGTGCAAAACCGAGAGGCCTCCAACAAAATAATATAAAATACTTTGAAACTATTTTATAGAAAAAGTAGAAGCTCAACTGAAATTATTCCAAGACTTTAAAAGAAAACTTCAGAATTTTAAGATAATTTTCATCTTTAAATTTCATTTTGATACTAAGTAAATAAAATTGTTTTTTACGGAGGGTTAATCGCACTGTATAAAAACGATGTTCGAAAGACCGTACTGCACAGATGACCATGGTTAGAACTGTTGTCCTGACAGCACAGTTTCTAGTGCAACATGCTGAGGAAAAAAACTGCGATGTCAGTCTTAAACCCCACATCTTGTTAAACGTTCCACAAATTCTCCCTCCACTGTACGCGGACATTGTTAAACTTTCCACAAATTCTCCCTCCACTGTACGCGGACATTGTTAAACTTTCCACAGATTCTCCCTCCACTGCATGTGGACATTGTTATACTTTCCACAGATTCTCCCTCCACTGTACGTGAACATTGTTAAACTTTCCATAGATTCTCCCCCCACTGTACGTGGACATTGTTAAACTTTCCACAGACTCTCCCTCCACTGTACGTGGACATTGACTTCTAAGGCCACTTTTAAGGGAATGACATGCACAAATGAAGGAGGGGGCGTCAGTTATTCCTATATTTTCCTATTCATTCCCATATTTTAAAGAAATACCTATTCTTTTTTATCCCTATAATTTATAGAACTCCTATATTTTCCTGTACTTACGAAATTGGTAAGCAGGAAATACAAATGTTCAAAATAAAGGACATAATTAATTTAAACATTTTGCAGAAAAAAAATTACAAAATCATATCTTTTAATTACTATTTATATTTCTGCAATTTTCCTCAATATACTTGAATTTCTTTCAGGTGAGGCGCCCCTGCCCAGCCCAGGCACTAACAGCCTCAGTTGTTGGATATGTACTACCTGGATTCATTCAGATCAAGGAGACCATTATTCTCAACTTTTAATGGACTAGGGATTTCTTTGGCAGAAAAATTAAAAACATGATTCTGATAATAAATTCATCAACATGGGCAAATGCAGTATTAAGTACTATTGTGGTAATAACAGAAACATTTGTCAGTTTTGGAGAAAGGAAAGTTCAAAATATTTATTCTGGGTAAATGTTAACTAGAGCAACATATCTAGATGATTTTCAAAGAAATGTTGAAAATGTGTTAAAATATCCAATAACTGAAGCTGTTTTAGAAAATTTTCATGACAATCTAACAAACATTTCAATACTTATTTCAGGTAAGAGTCGATAATTGTTAATTATGCCAGGAGACAAAACTAAGTTTAATAAAATGTGATTATCTGAGGTGGATGGAGATAGACATTTATTGTAGGTGTGGTGTGTTAAAAGAAGTACTTTGTATCAGGCAAACTTTACCATCTATAAATGTGAAATCGAATATGGCAATAGCGGACTTAAACAAATTCTTAAACATGCATCAGGATCCCATCATAAAAAAACTGAATCAAACATAACTCACATTCAAAGGTCAGCCAACCACTGCATCTCAAAGGAAAGTACCAGACAGATTTTTGCAGGTGAAAAAGCAGGGCCCTCTAGTCAGATAACTGAGATATTAACTGGAAAAGATAAACTCACAATTCTGACTTACACTGTAGCAAGCATCTTGTGCGTGGAAGTTATCTGAGCAGCATTGTCCAACACAAGTTTCAGATCTAGTGATGGTACTGCTGGAACATTCAAAGCAATGTTCAAATGGCCAATAACAGACAGTGTCACTATGAGCAGAAAAAGGTCATCTTGCCTACGTCAGATGGTTTGGGTCCTGCTTTCACTTCTGTTTTGATATATGATGTACGATATTGAAATAACTCTTTCTAATTGCAGTATGATGAACTAATTCAAACACAGGTAAAGAAACAAATGGATCTGTTGATAAGGTACTGGTCCCCAACCCATGATGAAGTCTGGTGCAGGTATTACAAGACATTGTTCTCCTTTCATGCAGATGGAAAGTTTGTTGCCAAGCATATGGTGGAAACATTACAGGAGGATTGCATGCCATTGGAATCCTTAGTTGCACCCCCCCCCCACAACCAGTGGCACAGCGGTATGTCTGCGGACTTACAACAATAGAAACCGCTTTTCGATACCCGTGGTAGGCAGAGCACAGATTTCGAAAGTAATATTGATTTTTCTTTATCACGTAAGGTATTTTTACAAATCTGGAAGAAAAAAACTTTTACTTAGGTCAAATTATTATTTAGTTTATCACAGTGAAAATTGTTTTATTATTATGTTTGTTGACAAAAATACAAATAAACTGAAAGAAAGGGAAGAACACTGATGCCAAACGAATAT